TCAGTAAATAATTCCTTAATATTGATTAAAAAGTTCTAGAGTCACTGCACATTATTTCACTTATAGAAAAAATGTCTTGTTATAAATAAAAAAAATCTGCATGTGGAACAAGTACTTTTCTATTAATAGTAAGGAATTATTGACTTAAAACAAGCTAGTTAGCCAAAGTGCTAACGTTAGCATGTCTCCTTGATGACACGGCTCTTGACATTCAAGTTCATAAAGAGCAGAAAAAAAAAGTGTTCTGCTTTGTAAACTTGCACTGCAAGAAACACAAAATCTTACCAAGTATTTTTGTCTCGTTTGTTGTGCAAACATCTTGAAATCTAAACAAAAACTTAAGTCACGTTTCAGCAGGATATAGTAGCTTGTTTTAAAACAATACTTCCTTAATACTGATCTTAAAATAATCCACTGGCAGATTATTTCACTTATAGCAAGAGGAAAATGTCTTACGAGTATAAAAAACCCGTACTTTTTAGTTGTTATTAAGAAAGTGTTGGCCTAAAACAAACTCCTACCATATATGTTGGTGAAAAGTTACTTTTTTTTCTTATTTTAAGTGTACTTGGGATTTCCACTAGAAACTACTTGGTAGGATTTTGTGTTTTTTGTAGTGAGAAATTTGGCGAAGCTCCTCCAGAGGCACAAATAAAATGATCCAACAGTTTCCCCAGGCAAGAGTGTGGCTTTCCTCTTGCTCTTAAAAGTTAAATTGTGTTTTCGTGTTGAACTGATGGGTTGTTCTCACCATGCAGGCACGCTCGGACAGACTGCATTGTAATTATTCATCATTAATCACGCCGCTTTTATTCTTGCATTTGGATAGGACTGTCTAAAATGTGCAGATTTGCACATCAGAGGAGCAGAAGTGCAGCTGGGTCTGTGTCGGGGCTTGCCTTCTCAGCCGTCAGCCATGTTGGTGCAGGCGTCTCTGAATCTGCTGATTTGCTGTAGGCGGTTTACTGGGCCCCAAGGAGGCGAGGACGAAGAGGAGAGAGTGGGAGTGACTCACTGATATCATTGCACTGTGTGTCACCGAGCCGATGCCACCGTCACAAACTGTGAATCCGCTGATTACTGCCAGACCTGAAACACAAACCTGTCTGACAACAGGAAGTAGGCTAGAATATCTAAAGAGCAAAGGAAATTCAACAACGAATGAGAACCGGAGCAACTGGAAAAGGTTACAAACTAATTTCTGAGACTCAAGCGAACACAGCAACAGCACAGACTTGTGCAGGTATTTGTTTTACAATTAGAAATTAAAGGATTCCACTTGATATTTTAAAAAAAATCAAGTTATCACACGTGCATTTCTGATTTAAAAAGAAAGGTAGAGAGAAATGTTTCATTAGAATTAAATAGGACTGAAACAATTAATCAAATTAATTGTGATTATTGAAGTAATCCTGAGCAAACTTAGCAACCGATTAATCGTTAGCTGCAGTATGTATACAAAAAATAGCCATTCAGAGCAGTAATTAAGCCAAAATTGTATGAAGTATGTTTTTAGCTGCAGATTCATTGTTTGCTCAAATGATCAAGCTTTCATTAAGGTAATGTAATTTAGCTGCATTTTCGACAATAAAAAGTTTATTTTCTTATTTATAAAATCAATGTAATTATTTGTTTATTGATGTGTTTCTAATTTTGTGTGGTTGTTGGTGCAGCGCCCCCACAGGCGAGGAGGGGAAAACCAACCGCGGTTGAAAATGGAAAAAAATTGAGCAGTTTTGGTCCCCATTCAAACTGAGTCTATCAGATGTGACAACACCCTGACGTAGCGCCACCTATATGTTTCAAAAATATATTTTTAATTGTTGCGATAATGTAAAACCATGTCGTGTTTATATTTGTTGCAGCAGACGCACCATGTCTCGTTCATGAACTCTTGCACCGAGCTAATAAAACTCTGTGACTTATTTCTTGTGGAAACTTTTATCCTAAGCATCTCAGCAGGAGTGTAAACATATCTGCGGGGGAAGCGCCGATTAAACTGAGGACTGCCTGGAGGCCTTTACTGTGTTTGGTAACGAGTTGGAGGTTTGCTGAAGAATTGGAGCCGAATCAGACAAGTTCCAGTTCTGTTTACAGTAAACCGCTGAGTGGCTTAGAGAGTCTGCAGCTCAGAGAAGGATAAGAACAAGAAAGGACGCGGTGCACGTCATCATCCCGAGGAGCAGGTACCATGTATGGAGAGACAGGAAGAGCGTGACGTAATGCAGATATCTGACATTACTGGACACAAAGAAGGAAAAAAAACTGATTGGGTGTTAGAAAAGTCACAATCTTGGGCGTTTTTCAGATTATTTTAATTACCTTGGTTGTTTACATTGAGTTTTTGATGTTGACCTACATTGCTTGACTAAAACTAGACTTCTCTTGTTTCTGTAAGCAAATGTTGCTGCTGTTAAGGTCAAGAAATGCTCTGAATAAACTGGATGCTGTCAAACTTTTATTGAAGGATATTTTATACGACAGCATGAAAGAGTTCATGCACTAAAAGATGGAAACACATTTGCTGAGTAAGTTTTGATGTGGTGAACATTAATCATCCGTCGTTTTTTTATGCATATTTTAAAGTTTTATAACCCAAAACAACTTCCTCAACTTCACAAAACCTTTTCACATTTTCCACATGCTAACGTGGAAATAGAAATGCATTTTCTGCGTAAGTTCTGATGTATTTTACCATGCATTTCTTTCACCAAATCTCCTTCACTTTGTCAATATTGAAAAAACTATTTTGCAATTGCAGCATTTTCATTAAATAAGAATTAAAATCATATCTGAATAGGTTTGTTCACTCAATAAGTCATTAAAAAACATCCTGCGGCATCATTCTCATGCCATTTCCTGTTGTCTTGTTGTTTTTCCCAGTAGTAACATCTAGTTGTTGATCATGTGACTCGTGTGACGTGAAACAAAGTGTTTCTCTTGCAGTTTTGTGAAATAAAACAATTTCAATAGTCAAAAAAAAACCCACCTCATCCTAGCGTCAAAACTTATCGATAAACAAGTTTTTTCAAAATTGTCCTGTTTCTGTTAAACTTATTTTCAAACTGTCAAATTCTTCAATTATATTCTTTGAATGGAAATGCAGCTTTTTGTTCATAGTATGTAACATTTGCAGTACCAGTTGGCAGAACAATTATAACTGGATAGCAACAAATTCTTAGAAACCGCTCTACATATTCCTGAGATGAGGATCCCTGCGAGTCGGAACCTCTACTTCCTGTTTATTAATGTGAAAAATTACACTTTAAGTAGCCTGGTTGGATCCATCCAAACCAGTCGATGGAAATGAGCTGCCACACCAATAACCAGCTGTCCAATTCAATCTGAAGCTTAGTTCTTGATTGAAAAGTAATTATTTGACAAAGGGTAGGACTTTTTATAACAGTTGTGCAAATTATTACATATATTTAAGTGTAGTAATGTAAATTGATATTTTACACTACATTTTCCTATTTAATTTTTTTAAATGTAAAATAAGAGTGCACAGTTGTGAGGAAACGACTGCAGTTTTAAAATAAAGTGTTTGATAAAATCTGACTAGAACCTGAATGAAGTACATTGTGCTTGTAAAATGTGGGGAAAAATAATGTAGTATCAACATTTCTTATAATAAGAGTGCAAACTGTTATTCTAAAAACAATGTTTTTAATTTCATGTTTAAAATAAAAAAAATTATTTTTTTCAATATTAGATTTAAAATAAAAAAATGTAGATGTTCCTTCACAGTTGTGCACTCTTATATTACACTACAGTTTAAAATGAAGGACATTTTAAAATGTATATTATTGCACTTCTCTCGCCTCCGTATCAGAGAATCGGACTGATCCGAACCATACTGCATCTTTAGGCTCATCAATCCATCGAAGTAGATTATTTAAATACCTGGATTTAATCAATTGCTATGTTTGGTTCCAATACCAAACAAACAAAGGTCTTTCTCATCCTCGACACGTCAGACATGTCGGTCACTGGAGACGTGTGAACGCTCATCGCTTCCCCTGAAAGCTCTGAGGGCCCTCGCTGAGCCCGTTCTCATTGGGAGGTAATTGGATAGGCAGCTCCTGCGTTGGTGAATCATTTCGCCTCATCATCCCACATCCACTGATGCAAAGTTGACTCATCTGCAGTTTGGGCTGCCAGGACAGCATGTGTTATCATAGATTCATCATCAGCGCCAATACAACAGTTGGGTACCGAGAAGCACCAGGATTGGAAACGGTAGACACAATGATCTTCCTTTGGAGTGGTCTGTCTTTGGTCAGACTCAGAAGAACCTTCATGACATTTGACTTTTGGCCTTTTGCAGTTTTCTAGGTGAGGACAGAGACGTTCACAAGTCTGAAGTCTTTCTCCACCAGCCCACGCCCAGCAGTTTTCTCTAAAAGTACATTTCTAGTCTCATGTCTTCGAAAGCGGCTAACGCTTCACAAGAGAATTTCGAGTATCACTTCTTTATCCACGAGTCTCTTAAGTGGCAAGTCCAAGTTCAGTTTCAAATCCACGCCTATTTCCAGTCTTACTCACTTTGCTTCGCCATTTATAGCTTTTGTGTCCATGTGAACGACAGGATTTGGTTTCTTCGTCACACAGAAAAACACCTGACAGCGATGTGCCACCGCAGCGCGCTCCACCGCCCATTTGTTGTGACTGAGATGACATGAAATGTATTTTCATCTGTAAAGCTGCACTTCACACGTTCACTCTGGACCGGCTACCCGGCAGCAGCTCCGGGGGAGAGGCTGTTGTACTCCAGGCATTGCTGTTTCTTGGCTCCCCAAAAATGTTAAAGACCTGGACATTATCCCCCTGACCAAACTTGGTCAGCTACTAGAGTGTTGCGCAACATAAATAATCACCTGGCTAGAAAACGGTGTGCTAAATAATCTAATCGAGTTTGCAGAACTAAAAGGCGTGAAAACACTTTTAGTTTTCAGTGAGGACAGCAGAGCATCTGATCTGATGTGTTTCCACCTTTGCAGGAGGACTACGACCGCCTGAGGCCCTTGTCCTATCCGATGACAGATGTCTTCCTCATCTGCTTCTCCGTTGTCAACCCGGCCAGTTTCCAAAACGTGCGTGAGGAATGGGTGCCGGAGCTGCAGGAGTACGCACCCAGCGTTCCTTACCTGCTGATTGGCACCCAGGTCAGTGTTTCACTTCCTGTCCAGGATGTCAAGTTTTATTAAAATAAATTCATTTAACAATCATTTTACAAATCAATTATTCTGATAATTAATTGATTAATTAGATTTAAAAAAATTGGCACATTCTGCAGATTTTTAATTCAACCACTTAAGCCTTTTTTGAGTCTGTGTACTCCAGTTAACAATTCATTGATTACTCATTTAGTTAGCGATTATTTCAGTAATTGATTAATTAGAATAATTGTTTCAAACTAAATTTCTTGTAGGTTTTTTTTAGCACTTTTAGATTGACTTTTCATTGATTTTCTTACCGTGGTTTTCATTTATCTTTATTGTAGTTAGCAATTGATGCAATTAAACTATTTGTAGTCTTGCATTAACACACTCTTTGGCGTTTCATAATGCATATTTTTAATCTCTAGATTTTAGTCTGTCATCTAAACACTCAGGCTTATTCAGTTCTTCAGACTTAATTTTAAATTTCTGTTTATTTCACCTTTTTTTAAGTTGTTTTTCATCGCCTCATGTGTTTTTTTGTAAAACATTTTAATCTGCCTTCATTGTGTTGAAGTCCTCTACAAAGACTGATTGACTCCAAACCGCCGCACCGAAGAGGGTTTGCATAAATTGCATACAGAGGGTTTGCGTGCATCAATAGCTGTGCACGTGTTTGTTGTGGAAATGCAGAGTACACAAACACTGCAATCTGTTTTTGCTATAAATTACAACAATGTGGTTTTATTGATCTTTTTTTTTTTTTTTTTTTGGTGTTTTACAAAACAATTGTGTTTGATTTATTTTCCTATGAAGTAAAACAACAGACGGACATCTTTTATCGTTAGCTGGCATGTTGGTCAATGTTCCCCGGCAACTGAATGCCGGCGCAGCGGTGATGAGGAGGACAGAGTGGGTGTCTGATTTATGTTGTGTCAGCTGATGTTGTGCGCTCTTTTATCAGTCCCCATCATGACTCGTTTGCTGCTCTGCGGCTGTGTGCTACGGCATTTACGACGGAGAAAAGAAAAGCAGATGGAAGATTTGATTGGAGACGGTTATTATCGCCGGAGAGGAGGTGAAGGGAGCTGCAGTTAAAACAGAGAGGAACAGCTCTGAAATAGTGCTGCACAAAATCAGGAAGTGAAGCTGAGCATGATTATGTTTGAAATTGAGAAATCCTGGTTTTGTCTGCAGAGTTAAGCTTTTTGACTCTGCAAAATGTACGTAAACCTGAGTGTGCTGCATCAAATTGTGCTCAGATTATAAACCAATCACTCTCAAGCTGACAGAATCAATCTGGAGGATCAAATATTTTAATTTGCATCAACAGATGTCTGTTACACCATTTAAGGAAAATAATCTGGTAATTATTTTATTGTATTTGGAAAATAATTGCACTTCAGCAAAATATTATTAAAAAAATAAACAGGCATTAGTGGTAAAAATCAATAATTAAGCATATTAATAACCAACTTAAAGAGTAAACTCCAAATCAACTTTTTTTTTGCAGATAAAAGATCTAAATTTGCCATTAAGGGCGATATCTCCATGTTTCTGTGTAAATGTGTTTAATTCTCCAATATTAGCCTTAAACTGCCTCAGTGCTGCCCTCTTTGGGTTGAGCTGTGGCTACTGCAGCTGAATTTTCCTATTGGTTACAACAATACAGCTTCTAACATCAACATGTGAAAAGTTTCTGCTTAATTTAACATCCATACAGCGTAAACCTGATCTGTTGAATATCTTTGAAAATTAACAGATTAATAATTCGTCAGCAACAAATACTGTGCAATCACTTTATTAAAAACCTTCCCTCTGTTGTAGATAAAAAGGTGAAATCAGATGTGTTTTGTTTTGACAACATATAAATTGGTTTCAGGTCAAGCTGTTAGTCATGTGTGTATTTGTTTTACTGGCTCGCTCAGACAAAAGGTTGCTAATATTTTCCAGATTGACCTTCGTGATGACCCTAAGACGATCGCAAAACTGAACGACATGAAGGAGAAACCAATCGCCACGGAGCAGGGACAGAAACTGGCCAAAGAGGTTCGTATTCATCAACTGATGAGGGAGAAGCAAGTTTTAGTTTTATTGTTGCAGATTGGAGCTGATGGCCTCTGCTAGATTCCTGCGTGTGGATTTGATGCAGGAATGTTAACATAAGAGTTTAATTTCTGGTATTTGACGTTGATACGGGCTGTCAGGTCCCTGTATCAGAGTCTGGGCCGCACTGCCGGCAGTAAGTCGGGCTCGTTCCTGGTGAGAGTTGGACTCCATCAGGGCTGCTCTTTGTCACCGATTCTGTTCATTACTTTAATGGACAGAATGTCCAGGTGCAGCCGAGGTGTTGAGGGGATCCGTAAAATGAGTAAAATGAGACCAGGAAAACATTGGATGTCCAGCACAGTTCACATCCTACATGTGGTCTGAAAATAAAAATGTAATTACCCAATTAAAAAAGTTATTTATGAAGCTTCCTTCACAACGCCATGCATTTCTGGGAAACTGAGGCCAAAGTAAGGTGTTTTGATCTGACCTAACAACCTTTTTTATTTTACTTCAAGTGTTTAAAACAACAAAACTGATTCCAATAATGTCACTAAATATTAAAAATTGAGAATGCTGTGTGAGGAAAACTAAATCAACTTTTGACTTGATAACCTGTTTTATAAAAGCAAAAGTATAATAATTATAAAAATTTTGCACATTCTGCATATTTCTGTTTGACCACTTATTTAAACAATGTTAAAAATACATTAAAGATGCAGACATGCAAATAATTCACTTCCTTAAATATAATAAGAAAATTTACATTTTATTGCCTAAAATACAATAATAGCAATTTTCCCAGCAGTTGAGACCCAAATGGAAGCATAAAAATATCCAAAATACTAATTTTTCATAATATTTCTCCTTCAAAAGCTACAGAAAAAAACTAAATAATTTCTGACTGCTGCATATTTTAGGTCAGAGGCGTCAAAACAAGAACTTTTATCAAGTCAAAAGTGCTTGTGAGTCAAGAAAACAAAAAAAAATCAAACAAATAATGTGAGATTTGATTTGTTAGTTTTTTGTGCCTAAGGAATTCTGTTCATTATAGATCAAAAACGTTAAAATTACATTTGCTGTGTGACAAGATTGACATCCAGTTTTAAAATTCTTTCAGGCTCGATTGATCAGATGAAATCTGGGTTGTAAAAATAGCATTTAGGTCACTTTCTTTTAGAACTCTTGCTATATTTAGCCAAGTAAAGTAAAATAAAAAGTTGATCTGAGTGCAGCAGAGTTAAATCCTGGTAAATCCTTAAAAAGTATTAAATTCATGTATCTCAAATTAACGCCTTGAAATGTTTTCATTTAATTTTTAAAGCATTAATTGGCCTTAAATACATTAAATACTGGTCTTAAATTTTGTCTTGACAGAACTATTTAATCTTGTATATTTTATGTGTTTTTCTCTTTTCTGTCAGGCAAAAAAAACCAGTGGCTCAATATGGCTGAGGCTACCGCTAACTAGCCGCCACTATACCTAGCTAGCTTTTTGTATTGATAATGGGTAAAAGCAAATTTATCACAGTTGGCTGAATGATGTTTGTACATTACTGTGGAGGTAAAGGTCTTAAATTCCATTCAGAATTGTCTTAAAGAGCCTTAAAAAGTCTTATATGGAAGTTGGAGATATTAAAAACTCTCTATTTGGTTATAAAAGCACAAATACTTTGTGTTGAACTTAATGTTTTCCACACCAAAAATTATGTTGGTAATAATTTTACCCTGATTACAAATAAAAAGCCTCCATCTGTAGTTGGAGGCCACAAAAAATCCATCCAAGGGCCACAAGTGGCCCCTGTGCCGCACTTTGAACACCCCTGTGTTACCTTCATTACAGTGAAATTGTGACGGTTTCTCCTGTTTGCCATGTCAGATCGGGGCGTGTTGCTACGTGGAGTGCTCGGCGCTGACCCAGAAGGGCCTGAAGACGGTGTTTGACGAGGCCATCATTGCCATTCTGGCTCCCAAGAGGAAGAAGGGATCCATGAAGAGAAGACTGGGACCCCGCTGCATCAACTGCTGCTTGATCACGTGATGCGGCGGCTCCTCTGAATCCTTCTAGTGAAAGACCGCAAACCAAACATGGATTGACGGCAAAAGATAGATAAAATGCAAAGACAAAAGCCAGGAGGATTGACTGACAAAACAAGAGCTCGCTCTGAGACTCTTGAAATACCAGAAGTCTCTCCTGAGCTGAGAATCCCGTTTTTACCAAAGGAGCTCAAAACCCATCATTCTCTTCTTCTACAAGACTTTTGCCTCAAAAGTACCTTCTTTTATAACCATTTTAATCATATTTTGTTTGTTTCTGTCGCTGTATGCCGTCACAGGAAAGACAAAAAGACATTTCAGCTTTAATGTGAATGGTTAATTCATAAATATCTCCATTGTTTTTGGAAATAACTTTTAAGTTTATCTCCAAAATGATGGAAGAGAGTAAGTTTTTAGCTTTGAAATTTTGTCATGCGAGACTCAGTTTTACATTTTCAATTTCAAAACTTTAAATTCGGACGAATCGTGGACCTACTGCTACGTTATTTTTAATGTTGTTTTGTAGTGTGGCATGCCAAAATACTCCAAGGTAGAACAAAACTGAGGAGTTCACAAGAAAATGAAAATGTTTATTATCCATTTTTAGAAACTATATTACCTAGAGTTTATAAGATTGTATCACTAAATCAAATATCATTGAGATACTTTATCAGCTGATAAATAACTTTTTGTTATCATGCAGTAACTTGCTATGTTTTTATCAATTTAAAGAGAGAAATTGTAGATTAACTCGTGTATTTCCCAAAGAATGCACACCTTTCATTAAAGGGCATATATCATCATTTTTCATATTGTTTTTTAAAAATATTTTTTAAACATTTTACATACTTCTTGATCAAGAATTGTGTTTAGAAGCATAAAATAAAGGTGAGCATATGATAATTGGGATGGCAAAGTTTGAATTCAACAAACTTATCAGCCAATTTATCCAGTCAGGAGAAGGAATTTAGAGAAACTGTAACTTGGGTAATTAGTAAACCGGCACCCTACAAACGGATTTAAAGGTGATCCGTCTCAAGCCGAGTCTGCCTGTAATCTTATCCTGTTTCAAATTTCTGCTTGTGCCAGTAACTCGGCATTCAGAACGCCATAATTTCTGCTCTGGTTCAGACCTGTAACGATTCTCCCAACAACTGTGTGACTGTGGTTAATGAAAGTCTGACTTTTCTCCATATAATCACTCTGTCAAAATGTTACTCTGAGGTCTCTCATGCCACTGAGACTCTATAGATCTTTCTGTAGTTAAGATTTTCTACAACACTGTATTTCTTTGCCCTAAAATGTCACTTCAAGCTATTGCTACATCAATTAAGATATAAAAGGTAAAATACTGGCAAATAATCAGACTACAGCTGTAATGACACATGTTTTCCATTTGGCTCAGACAAAAATAAATAATAAAAAAAAACAAACAGTTGTTAATGGCTAACAAAGCTAATTTTGCCTCTAAATATCCAGAAAGATTGATTATCGAAAAAAATTCTTAGATTTATGCAGAGGTTTTGTATTACAACAGAGTATTAGGGCTGTACTAAGAAAAAGTTTTAAAACTTTAGGAGAATAAAGTAATTTATGACAACACACTTGTACAAGAACAAAGTCAATATTCCGTGAAAAAACAAGAACAAAGTTGTAATAAAGAAAATAAAGTTCAATAAAGTGATAATATAGCTAGCTTTCCTAGCCAAAAACATATATTCTGGATCACCCTTTAAATTTAAGATTTAAATAGTTTTAGATGTACAGAGTGAAAAGTTTTCTGGCAGAATAACCGTTTTGGTGGGTGAGAAGCAATATGTTCTCTTTACCTAATTATTTCCATGCTATTGGATAGATGACCTTGAATCCTAAAGTCTTCCTCTGTTTTAGTATTTCACAATTTTAGTTTACTCAAAATATCATTTTTGTTTGGGAAAATTGCGTTTGAAAACCACTAATCTGCTTTAGAAAACATCAGAATGCAGTTTGTGATTTATTTCTGTTTCATTCTTTCATAATTTTTAGGTTTCCTGCCTCTAAAATTCGATGATATATGCCTTTTAAAATCATCTGGCTATTATGACCCAATACTGTCTACGGCACAACAATGAAGCACAGCTGCTGCTGCTCCATTTCCCAGCACAACAATGCACATTCCCTGTGCTTTCCAACATACCCATTGTCCCAGGAAGCACACAAGATGCACATGGTGCTGTCAGGCACAGCAAGAATAGCACACCATGTCAGCAAGAACAATCAGAGGTTCACTATACCCAAATTCTGCAACAAGATTCTCTTGTAGATCTCCAGTATCACCAAATACAGTGAAGACACTAATTAAAACAATTTTATGTCAGACGAAATTAAATTTGGTTGCCTTAAAAGCTGATAAGTTACAGTTTAAACATCTAAATGCTAGAAATAATTACATTTATTGAATTAGCTTTTGTTACAGACCAGTTCTTCACTGGTATTTACCAAAATATTTACATTAGTTGGTCCTGTTTAGATTTAGTTAACTGAAACAACTAACAAAGCTAATGTTAGCTATGTCAACGCCTAATGCTAGTCAACTAGCTAGCTAATAAGTGCAAGCTCAGCATAATTCACCGTATATTTTAAAATGTAGCGTTCAAAGTAATGATGTCAAATAATTCTAAAACACATTTATAAAATCAAAATATATTTAAACACAAAACATTACAAAAACTATAACCAAGAAAAAATTTAAAAAGTATGGTTTAGCATTACTACAGGTTAGCACAAGAAAAACACTTTTCTTGTTTTTATAGATTATAGTTGTATGTATATTTTATCTCTGGCAAAAAGATAAACAATCACCACAACTAGTATTTACCTAAAAACTTAGTTGGTGGCATTTTGCTCCTAACCTTAGCTAACTGAAACAACTTTTCAAGCTAATGTTAGATGTGTTAGCGCCAAATGATAACTATCTAGCTAATCAATGCCAACTCAGCTTAATTTACAGTATGTTTTAAAATGTAGTTGACAAAGTCATGATGTCAAAAGGCTCTATAAAATGAAGATATATTTCAACACATAATATCACATTAACAATGATAACCAAGATAAGTTAAAAGATAAGGGTTAGCAGAAGTACTGGTTAGCACTTTGCTTTGGAAAAACAACACTTTCATTGTTTTTATAGGTTGCAGTTGTTTCTGGCAAAAAGATAAGCAAACATCTATCTTGGATGGTCTGTCTTTAGTTTTAATTTGTGGAATGTTCTCAAACTTAACCAGATCTAGTAGATTAAATAAGGAATCCTACATCCTTATAACGTCTACACCAGTGCGCAATTGCAACAAGTAGCCACAGCTCTTCTTCACATACTATCATGGCATTGCTCTTGCTCAAAAAACGTCATCTTATGAATCAACTGAAACAAACAACACGTTATCCTTCTTTGCACATGGAGATTGGTATGCTCTCTGAGTTGGGGAGATGCGCACACACCGCCAAATTGTGTATATAAATGTTCTCTCTTTCACATCAAGACTGAAACTGTTGGTGGAAGAGTTTAGAAAACATAATATTTAGAAAACATAAACAAATTGTGAGGATCCTTTCTAATGCTAGAGCTTATGTAATGGAAGAATAGAAATAGGAAACAGAATGGGCATGAAATCCGTGTTCTGAGTATTACATGTGGAGTAAGGTTACTAAAATTTTACAAATTCAACTATTCATTGACACTATCAGGGAATGGAGTCCAGATGCAGTCTGTCAAATTCAGCTTGTCGACCAACAAGGATACAAAAAGGTTCTGATTTTAAAACTCACAATAGAGAAGGAGCCTAACTGAAAATAACCCCTTTATTCCAGTGTTCTAAAAAGAATCAGACTGAATAGCAGTAGATTTCAGTGAGAAATATTGAGGAAACCATTATTTGTTTGGTGCCATCACCATAAAACTTTTAAAGACAACTGCACAAAGAAAATAACACATTTTCATAAATGTGGACACTTTTCTCATTCCATCAATCTAAAGTAGGCTTGGTGGCGGTGAACCACCAAGGACCATAATGCATCGGCCACCCACCATGGAAGCATCCACTGTAAACGGGAAAAACTGATTTATCAGCTGCTGTGAAAGAACATTGAAGAATAAAATCCATGCGTCAATGAATTAAAGTTACCAGAAAACACATTGATTTTTATGTTTTTGGTATGAAAAGTCTGAATATTCCCCAACAGCAGTAATCCTATTTTGTTTTTGTCAGTTGTTTTTTTTTTTTTTTTTTTTTTGCTTTTTATTGATGTAATTGTAAGTCACAAGTTTTAATTAGTGATCAAAAACTAATGCTTTAAAATAATAGCTGGTGCTATCCGATTTAGGAAAGTCAATTCAACAGAATTTAGGCAGAAACAAGATCTGAACTTTTAGTGGAAACTTTAAGGAGTTTTTTTCTTGGCCAGCCAAATGTCAAAATATTTGTCCCTTTTTATTTAAAATGCATTTAATTTTTCTAGCATTTTTAAAGACATTTCTCAAAGGTGCCAATTCTCCCTGTTGTTTTGTTTCATATGATTAATTAAAGCTTTAATGTTGAAGGTGCTTCTTCTCTCTGTCCCAGCCTGTGTTGTGTAGCGGTCCTGTCAGCAGCGCTGATCATTGCACGAGGAGCGCCGAGCCTCTTGGACAGTTTTGCTCGATTTTGTCATGTGAAGGTCCCCCCTCTCCTCCTCAGGATCAAGGACCGAAGTGCCACAGCCAGCAATGCATTTTCCCATTAATGATCCTCTTTTCTCAATAAACATGTTTCCTGTGTTAACAGTCTGGCTTTGTGTTTGGTTAATTCTGCAAAAGATTGATCAGCTGCAGGAAATGAGTGATTATAACTTTTGCTGTGATGATTCCTGGAAGTGCAGATTTCTTCATAAAGAGACAAAGTGGGCAGTAGTTGATTGGTGTCATAGAATAAAATGTTAAAAAGGACTGTTATCTTTACAGGTGAAGTTTGCATGTTTTTCAATATTTGCATTGGTCTTGGTTTAGTTAACTGGCTACTAATTTTGTGCAAAAACAAAATTTGATCGCATACTTTTCTCTAGTTTATGGTGCAAATATCTTAGTACACTGAAAATAAGATCAAACAAACCTACAAGTGATTTTTTAGCACAATATAGAAGTTTGTTCTAAGTCAACAATTTCTTAATATTACCTGCATGTCCTTTACAAATGTGCAGAAAAGTTGGATGATTTTCCACTAATGTTGAAAAAAACACAAATTTTGCATTTACTGTGTTTCCATGAAATAAGAAACACAATTAAAATAACTCTGTTCACACAATAAGTCATTAGAAAACATCCACCACCATCATCTTCCTTCCACTTCCTGGTGTCTTATTTGTCGTTTTTGCCAGTGGTAACGTCCGATCATTGATCATGTGACTTGTGTGACGCAAAAAAGTTTTTCCATTGCAGTTTTGCGAATTACACAAATTTTGTGTAATTACATGAAATTATACTAGTTTAGTGTAATTCACAAATAGTGTAATATACAACCAAAAAACTCGCCTCATCCTGCTGCTAAAGCATTTTAGCAAAAAACATGAGCTTTTCCAAAATAGTTATATTTCCTTTAGTGAATTTATTTTTCAAAATTTTTGTTGTGCAATTATATGGTCAATGGAAACGCAACTTTAGATAAAAACAAAAGTATTCCTTTCACTTAAAACCAAAGTGAATAAACTAGTACTTTTATTGACTTAAAACAATAAATTATTGACTTAAAACAAGCTCCTATGTATTAACAAAGAGCTACTTATAAACTAGTGTTTTAAGATATTTGCTCTAGAAAACAGACAAAAATACTTGGTAATAGTTTGTGTTTTTGCAGTGTATGCATTTCAAATTTAAAAGTGAGCTTCATGTGATACGAGCAGTTTCATCATTTCTCTGACATTGAGCAGTTAGCGCTTCGCCTCCTCTTTCGAAATTCTTGCTTTCACCATCTGCCTCAAACTGAACACTTCCTACATTGATATGTAAGAGTGATACGATGTGGCAGAGTGCATGTATCACCCCGTGCATATAATGTTTCAGTGCCAGAGCTGTCTTTACCACCCACACACTCAAAATACACACTTGTTTTTAGATTTCAAACGAACCTATCAGCTCGGTTGAATCAAATATTTCTGATCTTCATCTGTTTATTCTTCTTCTTTTGCAGGATCTCTAAAATAGGTTTATATGTTTACCATAATAATGATAATTATAGCCTAACAGGTGGGCTTTATGAGATAATTGGGGATCAGATGATGGAGTGTAATTACTTTGACCTTAGTTCTCTCATGTACCGTGTTAGAGTATCTGTGAACATAATTTTAGAGACCACATTCCTGCATGTATCATGCAGAAGTAAGAGCCAGTGTTATGGTTGTTGAATAGCAACTGAGAAAACTAACAAAAACATATTCTGCATTTGCATTTTTTTTTTATTTATTTAAAGGGGGGTCATTGTCAACTCCTCAGATTAATTTAGTAACGTCTGTTTATTTACAACTCAAATCATTGTTGCAAAAGTAAAACGGTCAAAATCTTCCATTTGGAAATTTGGAAAGTTTCAATCACTGTCCAAGAGGAAGCACTCATGACTTTGTGCTTTTGAGCTTTCCTGTGTTTACATTCTGTAATTTACACCAGAGCCGGCCCAAGGCAAAGCAGTTTCATAAGTTGTTTTAATGAAAGAAACTGAGTTTGAAAATTTGTATTTTGCCTGATTTTGTAATTCTTTGCTATTTATATAAATTATTGTCATTTTTGTTCTTAAAATACCAAAATTTCCAAGCATGTGACAACAATCTTTTATTTCATGTAGTTTTATTTTTAATCCCTTCAGCTGCACTGAAAAAATATAAAAGTTAAGTGATTCAATTTAAAAATGTTGAGCTATCTTGTTACAAGTAATCAAATTAAGTTTATCCAAGTAAATATACTGAGTTTATTAAGTTGTCATGTTAAGGAAATGTAAATAAATTAAGTATGAAAAACTTAATTTGATTACATGCAGCAAATTAACTCAGTTGTTTAAAGATGGAGTTTTACTCTCTTTTTTCAGTGTAGGCAGATGAAAAATAGTCTTCTGGCTAACTTTGGAACAGTTACAGAATTGTTATTATTATGCACTGTACCTGTAATAAAAAAATAAATAAAAACAATGTAAATAAAAACCATGCTGCGTTTAACCTATGAATAGCTGAGAAACCAACAGAAAGCTTTTGAAGTGGTCTAGTCAAAGACTATACTACAAAAACAAAATCTTGCCAAGTATTTTGGTCTAGTTTCCAGTACAAATATCTTAAAATACTTGAAATAAGACAAACTAACTTAAAAGTAACGTTTTAGCAGATATAAAGTAAATTATTTTTTAATTTTGATGAAAAACATTGTTTCATTGGGAAATAAATTAAGTTATAACATGGAAAAATGTCTTGTTAGAAGTGATATAATCTGCGTATGGAATAAGTACTTTTTCATAAGATTTTGCAGTGTAAACTTAAAATCAAATTGAGTTTACATGGCATGACCTTAAACTGAACTCTCATGCTTGAAAAATCTCTAATGTGACTGAAGTAATACAACGTTTCTCTGAACTGAAATTCCCCAGTGAGGTTAGAAACGTATTGGCAGTATACAGCATTATATAGCTTGATGGCAGTAGTTGCTGCCAAGGGGGCCACAAGAAGTCATTTGATTTAGAGGACAACTACTTTTCTACATATTGCCACGAAGCACCTTGAGGCTTTCCTCTCGTAAAATGCCCTGACGGCTGCAGTAAGAGGACTGTAAATATTGAAATCCCTTGTGACAGGAGATAAGGTCATAGAGTACAATATAAAAAGAACATCCATAGTAGTTTTACATCGCATCACTTTTGTATTAAACAGTTCTGTATTTCTGCTGAGAAAAATAGACTTTAGAACCCTTTCTGATTACAACATGGCTGCTGAAATATCCCCTATAACTTAACAGATATCCCTCTGCACTTTGGTTTATTCAAGTATCCACATTATTTTCTTAATTTTTCTCCAAAGACAATCGTGATTTTGGATTTGTAACCAGTTTCGCACACTGCCTGCGGTATAAAGCATTTCCTTTCACCCATTAAAATTTACCTGAAAATGTTTCCATCCTAGAGAGCCACAAGATGGCGACAGGAGCTTTGTTACAACAGCGTAGACCTCTGGGAGCTCTGCGTCAACAAGCTAGCTTTCATTCAAGTTGTTTCTAATGGTATTTATGAAAGAATGATGTTAGTTATGGTGTTTCTGCTTAAATTAGATTTATCTCCAATATTTACAGCTATATGTAATCCTGAGGTCCAGTAGGCTGACTTCACAACTAACACACTCAGGCTCACTGTTCATATTGCATCAAGAGGGAAACTCCAAACTATTTGGCTGTCGTCAATTAGCAGCAGCTAACGGTTGTAAAATTAAACACAGCTAAAACTCACAGCATTAACGATGTTAACAGCAAGAAATATGTACAAAACGTGGCAAAATTACACACGAAATTCTGAGTGAAAATAAAATACGTGTTAAAATGTAACACTTGTAAAGGAAACGCAGTTACGACCGACAGAAACAGGGGACGGTTACTGGTTGCTATGCTAACCACCATCCGTCAAGAGCAGCAGCCTGAGGAGAAAATAACTTTTTGGCTGAAAAATTGATTTAAAGAATATATAAACCAATTCTGACAAACTTCACAGACGTCACACAGAACCTAGAGTGTATTTTAGGCCTTTAGTCCAAATCTCGTCTGATCTGGATCCAGATGTATTTCCATGTTAAGTAAATACACAGGGACAAATGTTAGCTAACAGCACTAATTGTTTTACATTTATTTATTTGAAGGTGGATTAGATGCTTGCTGCTATAGATTAAAGATTATTAGATTGCTCCTTCTGACGGTGAGGGTCAGTTAAGGTGTCTTGGAAGCATAAGTTGGACATTTGGAGATGCATTTCTCAATTAAAGTTTAAAAATAAATAGTGTGAGATACTGCTACATAATACTGCTAACATTGCTGCTGCATCAGCCAGGTGAGTTATTATTTTATGATGGATGATTTGGAAATGAAACAGCATTTCCGGAGTGATCTGCATTGAGACTAAAATAGTTTAGATTACTTCCGATGGAGAAATTAGTGCTAATCCAATTTCCTTTTTCCTTTCTTTCATGCACACAAATCAGATCAGTATTAGTGAGATGTAAAAACTGATTTGTTCTGACCACTGGAGGTTTTCCCTGCTCTCCGCCTCGGCTCTGCTCAACTACTAAATAATACTAAAATATTTGGACTGTTTTTATGATGCTGTATGAGGACCATTAAAGATAGAAAAAAATGAGTAAATTCCTGCCAAAAAACTGTATTTTTCAGATTAATCCATTTTCTAAGTATCAATCATGGAAAATTTTAGACTTTTGAATTTCCATCTTTCTTCTAGAAAATGTTCAACTTCTTGAACTCTGGTATTTCTAGAAAATTTCTGAGATTAATCCAAAAGTTTCTGAATGTTTTCTAGCTGTCTTTGGCGTTTAAAGCTCAGAAATGTCCACATTGTTTCTAGAAAATGTCTGAGATTAGTCTCAAAATAAGACCTACCATTTTCCATGCCTCTGGTGACAACACACAAGGTAACTGATCAGAGTTTTTGACACCTATTTGTACTTCTCACAAGTTTTTAACCAAATTCTTATTGCAGCAAAATGTTGCAAAAATGTTGCAGAAAATCCTGGGCGCACCCTGGGCCCCCTGGTAAAAGTGCGCTAGGAAACGCCCCTGTTGGCATCACCCTCGGTCGGGCCTGGATATGCAGGAACCAGTATCCCCTTCGCCGCTCCACGTTTCCAAGTAGCAGCCAGCGGAGAGCTTCCTTCACCGCCTCGCACCCATTGGTGGCCGCCGGAGTCCAGCCTGTGCCGGGGCATCCCCTATCCGCTCCGGAGGAAGTAGTCACCGCAGCGTGGCCCTCCATTGGCCCGAGCCGCTGTCAGTCGAGGCTGCCTCACGTTGAGCCCCGTCCTCCTCCCCGGCTCCGTGTCTGCTCACACAGCCGTCATATTGGTTGCTCCAGGCAGAGAAGAGGAGCCCCACCATGATGAGGAACGGACTGTCGCGGCGGTTAAAGATCGGTTTAGCGTTCAGATCGCTCTGACCAGTGTTTTTAGGGATTTATTATTATTATTATTATTATTTCAAATATTCGGAATGATACCATCAAGAATCAGTGTTCGTTCTGCGCTTTCGTCCGACGCCGTGGTCCTCTGGGGGGATATATGCCCGACTTTTCTTCATAGCCATTTTTTACAGACAAAGAGAGCCGTTGAGTAGGGCTTCCAGAAAGAGAGGGGTGAGTCACTAATTCAAGCAGCAACTCACCTGTCTAACGTGTCACCTCTGTTTCCTTGACGACCCAAAACCACTCTACAGCGGCTTGTTTTATTTCTGCATTTTTCTCTCGATAATTGTCACAAGCTAGCATGCTAACCTCGCTAGCTGAAGCTAACTAAAATGTTAGGAAATTTCTATTCTGGAAATGCTAACTGTTAGCTGCTAAGTTTAAAGCCTGTTTAGGCCTTGAACGGGGCTCTTTATATGCGTTTGTCTGAACCGATCGGGTTTTTTTTGTCAAATGTGAGCGCCGATAATGTTATCTTAGAGCTGTAGCTACATTTAGTGGTGTGCTGGGACTGCTGTCGGTCGTTAACGGGTTAGCAGCTCCGCTAATTTGGCAGTGACAAGGGGAAAATGGGGCCTCCAGAAACCCGAAGGCCTCCTCACGGTTTCTGTACATTCGCTATGATCGCATAGTGTCTTTTGTAGATGTTCTTTTACTGACAATCGGGTTATTTATAAAGCACCAATTCACAACATGAGTGGTATCGGATTACTTTACGCCTCAAACTTAAATACACATTTGGTTGCATGCAATGCAGTCCAATTCAGTCCAAATGTGTTTGATTTAGGTAAAATCATTCCAATGCAACACGGTTGGATTCACGTTCCAATCAATCCTATTTATATTACATTAATGATTTTAGTTATTTCATTCAGTTAGCAATGGTAGAGTGCAGCACTTAATCTGGCAAGAAACTGGGATTTCCAGGCACCATTTTTTTAAAGCTGAGACTTGCAAATGGAGATTTTAACAGATAATGCATTTTTCTTTTTTTTAATGTTCTTATTGCTGCATCTACAAGTTATTACAGCTTGTCTTCTGACCACGTTTAATGCTCAAAAAAGGGCATTTTTACTTTTGTTTGAAAATTTCATTTTGCATTCCAGAAATGTGTGCTTTAAACCTCAAATTATGTGAACTAATATACATAAAATGACACCCTAATCCTTTCTGCACTTCCAACTTTTAAAATCTTTACATTCAGAGTGATCACATGTCTTTATGTCAGTTGAGAGTGCAATTCCAAGTAGAAACATTCAAATGTTTTAGTCTACGTGAAATGTGATATTGGAAATTGTAACATCAAAATATAATGATTGCATATTTCCAAGGGTTGGTGATTACAATCCTTCACAAATGGTAAAGATTCACCTTTAAACACAATTGTAACTGGATATTTTAACAGTTCAAACACCAAATATGCCTTAATGTTCATTAATATACACAGTGGAAACAGTCTTAGCACTACCATAGAAGCTAATATCGAAAGTCTTCCTTATTTCTGCCAATCTGTGTCAATGAAAATTAATGGCACTCCTGATTGGCTTCTCTGCAAATGTCAACAATAGTGTGAAATGTATTTCTGCTTACTAAACTGTATTTTCCTTAAAATATTTTTAGATGTACTTTATGGAGAAAAAAATGACTGTGCTTATTTTCTGGAAATAATTTGAAGTTGCGTTCCACAGAAAAATCCACCAATTCAGAACCTCAAAGATTGACTGTTCCTGCTTTTTATTAGCCATATGTATATTTGGAGTTTGAATGGTTTAAATGTGATTTAATTTGAAGTCAGCATACCTTTCCTGCATAAAATCCATTTGAATTTCTGCCCAAACTGCATGTTAACACATAACTCGCACGCATAAAAAACTTGCGTTACCCCAGTTGGTGATTATTTAGTTCCTCATACATAGCAGTTAATAACAAAACCTTACAAACTTAATTCGAGGTATTTTCATGTTTTAGGCCAATTTTTTTTCTTTGAAAACTTTGGGACAAGAAATTATAAACACACTCGTATAAACACCAGTGGACTCTCTTCACACATAGCAATTTAGAGTGAACTCAAATTTTTATTACATGTAAATTACCTGGATTTTATGTACTACTTTTCTAGTCATACTGGCTTCTCAAAGGACTTTACAAGCGTAAAGTGCTCACCAGTGTATGTTCACCTGCTCTGCCCAGCTGAACATAAACATGTAAGAACATATTTTTTTTCTTCCCATATTCAGCTGTTTTTTCTTCAGTTTAATTTTCCCTGAATTCCACTTTTACAAATCACTGAACCACAAGTGTTGTGGTCTTTCAAAACATTAACATTGTTTTGCTGTAGAACATGATTATATGTGTGAAAATCAAATGATGTTTTAATGCCATTAGTTTCACTCAACATCAAAATGTATCTTGTAGAAATGCACAAACCTGCAATTTTTTTTCCCAAGTAAATCATTTTGTACTGATTTAGTTTAATATTTGAGGGTTAGCATGTGTGACTAGCTAGCTTGCGTTTCTCCCTGTTTCTGATCAGACTCTTTGACTTTTAAGTGATCGTCATGAATTTTTAAGCATCCAGTTAATTGTTTGCTGACAAGACTTAGAGAAAAGAACATTTTCTAAATCCTCCCCAAAACAAAATCACTGGAGTTTTGTTCTGTTCTAAACCTTTTGGGATTTTTGTTTTATTTTGGAGAGCATTTGTGTTTCAGTGATGCAAGATGGCTACTAAGCCACAATGAAAATGTTCAAACTTAAAAGGAAAACAGTAAAATGTATTGAACTTAGGACATTTGTGTCAATGTATTATTATAGTCAACTTCACTGATTATGTCAACAAATCACTGCAGCTCTATTTGCGCTCAAACGGAAAGACGCGCTTTTATGCTTCCTTTGACTTTTTGATTGAAGCTGATATGGAAAATAGAGAATTAAGGGGATTTTTTTTAAATCCAGTGTTGTATCTTCCACACCTAAGGGTGATTATTTGTTTTTGATCATTGATCAGGGCAGATTGGGTGCAAAATCTTTGAATTCCAGTCAATAATTTTTTTTGGTGCATCTTTAATCAGCTCTGCTGATCGGCAGGTCAATAATTGTTTTTTCTTGTTGATAAAATACATCAAAACTAAGAACTCTATTGATTTTTGTGTGTGTGTCTAAATGCATCCACCAACTGTAATATGTGTAATAACTGCAATATTTCCTTTTACTGAAGCAAAAGGAAAGATTCCTTTCTTTGGAGCATTTTTACAACTAAAAAACAGAAAAGAAAATTATTTTAGAGACATAAACTCTATCATCTTGCCATCGCTGTAAGCAACTTTGTTCACTTCCTCTGCTGCCGTCACCAAACTACAACTCTATACCGGTAAACTGTGATTCAAAAACGGCACAGAAAATGGACGTCTTCATTCAGAACTTCTCCTTCTGTTCGCTGATTGGCCCAGGATGAAATTTATCTGGAGAAATTGAGATTAATGGGAGAAATCCCAGACGGAGCACAGAAGGGAGATGAGAATCCAGGGAACTTACATGGGAAGGCAATGACGAGACTGGCTCGCTAACTAGTATGTCTGAACAAAATAATTTGATGTTTATACCCAATAAATTAGGAATGTCCATCATTTATATGGAGACATGTTTTGGGCTCAAATTTGCATTGTAATTTTGATTAAATTGTGTTTTATGTTTACTAATCTAACCAAAATAAAAATATGCATTTGAAATATCACACCCCATTTCTTTACAGTGGACTTTTTTTGGATATTAATGTATTACTTTAACTCATTGGCTCACAAAAAGACTGCAAAAATATAATATTTATACATTATTAAATGCAGGTGTATTTTTTTGAAAGA